TTAGCAAAATATGCCTCCTCCAAACATCTAAGGTAAAATTTAAYGCAGGAAGTTGCATTCTTGCCTGCCTAACATTGCTCCTTACAGTCGTGACTAAATAAAATATTCTCCAGTACCTGTTCTGAATTATTGCAGTGGTCTGAGACACTAAAAACCTTGCCACATCCTACCCTGAAGGTGTAATAGCTCTTTTCCATCCAGGATACTTTACTTTGCTAGGATATTAATCAAAGTGATAGGTACGAAGAGAATTTTAATTAATACATTTTGGAGATGCCCGGGAGCCAGGTTTGAAAGGTGAAGGAATCTCTCCTGGGAGCAATGGATGCCAGAAAATGGTCCTGTGCTCAGTGCAGCAGCCTCAGCCCTTCACCCTTGTTTCCCATTTTATCCTTTGCTTCCATTTAGCACACRTAAAGCTGATCACCCTTCCTTCCCCCTCAATCCTGGAACAAGCCACAGCCCACTAGCAAAACCACKAAAGAGCACACATAATTCCCTCCCTTGGGAGAGGAGAGAATGAGCTGCACATGGCCTAAGCCATTGCTAAATCTTCCTGCATAACTTGAGGAACATGAGCCAGAGGCTGAGCTTTAGCTAAGAACCTACACAGCAAAGAGAGCAGGTTTCACTGTCAAAAAGCACAAACAGCACCCTCAGTGACAAGGAATCACTTCAGCAAAAGGGACTTTGGGGTTCCAGAGAATCAGCCCACCCAATTCACAACCACCTGCTCTGAATCCGGGCAACCTAGAAACTTCCCTTAAGGCAGAGAAGGATTTAGTGTTCATAGTAAATCTGTGATATACATCCACTTACTGGCACATTTTACAGGCTAAGGGCAGTCTGGAAAACACGAAGGCAGGACGTGGAATCGACAGGTTTTCAAAGATCCCTGAGATGATCGGTTCCTGTTAGAACAAGCCTAATATAAAGCCCTAGAGCTCAAATGAGCTTTAAAAAAACTGGCTCTAAAACTCTCCCAAAGTAAACAGCTTCAGTCCTACTTAACTGAGGAAGCCAGAAAGCTGAAATATGCCACTGTATCCGACTGGAGATCGTTTTGCAAATTGCCTGAATGCAGTACAGGGGTCGGCCAGAACGCATGAGCCCTGAAAAGATGGAAATGCGCTCCAGCAAAGGTAGCAGGCAGCAAACCATTGCTAAACCTCTCATGGTGCTGAACTGGGGATTTTGGGAGAAAATTGTGAGCTCAGCCCTGTGAAGGGCTCCTCATGCAGCTTGGAGAGCAACTCTTGTGCAAGCCTTTATAGGCAGCAGAATGTGCTTCTTCTGGTAGGGCTCAGCAAGCATTTCCGACACGCTGTAATTGCTTGCACGCTTATTGAAGAGGAGGGCAAGGGCAGGAGCAGGGCCATTAAAACAAAAAAAAATCTGTTTACAGCATTGTGCTGCTTTTCAAATTATGTTTTCTTAYGTGGCTCCAGTTTTAAGCACAACTACCGAGTCTGAGGCTAATGCAGCACCGCTGTAAGCACTGCAGTGGAGAATTTGACTTCATGTGCTATGGCATATATTGTTGGTGGCTCCGTTACTGCATTTTACAAGGTCATTTTTCTTGGTGTGGGAACACTGTTTTTCTTGGTGTGCAAGGCCTGCTGTGGAAAAATTAGAAGTGATGGGGATAAACTTTGWGATGAAATATTTTCTCTCAGAATGAAAGCACAGATTCTAGAGCGTCGTGAAGTATTAAAAATGTCTTCCAAAATTTATGCTCAAGCCTTCCCTTCATTTTAGAACTATGTTGAAAGATAAAAACATATCCAAGCTGTTTTTTTCCTATCTCTTAATATAGCCTCATTTGCTCTTCTTTAGAAAAGAAAGTTTATACTTCTTTATTTCCTAAATATACTCTACAACAGCTTCTGGATGCTAATTAAATTACACCTAGTAGAATTCTCACCAGAAAAAAAACCTCCCCTCCCCAGTTCTCCTTTTTTCCCCTGTTGGAAGCGATGGAAGGAGGGGAATAAAATCTGATAGAGAAACACAAGGCCRATTCCYTCTGGTAAYTCAAGTCTTCGAGGTATTTTACAASTGCAGTGTGGATTTCCCATTCTGTGTTAGCTTGCCCTGCCACAACCCAGTTCCAAGAGCAGCATGAAACCGCAGCCACGCGAAGCTCCAGCGACCATTGCAGCCGCAGCGAACCAACAGAGCCTGTGCTGTGTCTCACTCATCCCAAAGAGGGACACAGGAGAACTCCAGGATTTTCTCCTCGCTGCTGCTCCAGCAGAGCCAGTCACAGTGGCACAAGACAATCCCAGACATCCGGAATCTCTGGAGACACCCACAGCATGGGGAAGGGCACCAAAGGGGAAAAAAGAGGGAGGAAAAAAAGAACTTGTTCAATTTGGGGTTGGAAGGGGTTTTTTCCTATATTTCTTTCATCTCTCAGTTTAATTAATTGCAGGGGATAACAGAACTGAAAGACCAAAGGGAATCAAAATCTGTCCAACAAAATCCTTCCTTCACAGGAAGGACCAAGGGATAGGAGAAAAAGAAGCTCTTTCTTCCTTAATGAATCAGACTTCAAATGCTTACAAGTGTCTTAGACTATTTAAATCTCTAACCATATTTTAAAATTACTAAGGATTCTTCCTGAAAACCTTTTATGTGAAAAGAACCCAATTCTGACCACTTCATTTGTGCAAACACAGTCATAAAATACCATATCCTCCATTTGATAATTGCCAGGGGCTTGTGATACAAATTTGCCTTGTCAAAAGAGGTCTATAAACAGTTTCTGCAAAGATTACTCTGTCCTGGATTTGCCACACTTTTTCAAACGAAATTTCATCAAAAGAAACACTGATCTGCTCCTCACAATCACTTCTCTCCAGAGACCWACCAAGACAGAAAAGCCCTAAGAGATTTCTGCCTGCTTACACCAACAAGTCTGAGTTTGTGCAGTTTTGTTTCCCACATGGATTCTCTCCCTGGGAGTGCAGTGCACTAGGATTTTGCATTTCCCTTCAGCAGGTGCTATGACACAGCCCAAACCCCGCCAAGATCAGAAGATCCCAGCACAAACCTGCCATTGAGATCTATATCGGGATGCTCTTAATAAAAGCATCCGCAGTGCAACTTTCTCAAGCAGGTTACAAGATTTTCCAGCTAGCAACAGAATCCCTGGAAGTTATAAAACGAAAAAATTGATGGACTTCCATCTGTTTAACCAATTGCTCTAATCAATATCCTTTTCCCTCCCCATAATGTTTTATACAGACACAGTCTCTCAAATACATAACTGCAGAATCAATTCAGTTGGGAAGTATATAAAAATTTCAATTCTACAAATGGCAAAACATTATGAAAATATGAACTGCTAAAGCTATCATGGTGCTTTAAGGCACAGAGTTCATTAAAGGGAATCTGTAAAAAATCATTGGACAGAAAAAGTTCTTGAAGTCAACAACCTACAGATTTTCACGAGACATCCAGCTACAATGATAACAATCTAGGATAATTATCTGAAGATGATTTTCCTCYTGTTTCACCCTAACCTTATAACAGTGCTCTAAAAGGAGCTCCTCAGGGAAATGGCATCACCCAGAGTTCCCAMTTGCCCAGATGTTTCTCTCATTATGTTACAAGCCTGTCAAGAAAAGGCAAATTCAGGGTTATTCTAATGATAGCAAACACCTCATAAAAAACCTCTCCAAATTTACTTTTCCAAGGAACATCATTTTAAAAGGCATTTCCAGTGCCCATGAGGAAAGAAAGCATCATTTATAAAACATTATTACCAGAAATCTTGCAGATATTAAGAAAAAAACATCCTGGAATGTCAAGCTGGTGATAAAAGTGCAGCTCAAAACAGAGACAGCATGCTGGGGCCTTACCCGMCGTGCAAGGCTCAGCACTCCCAAGAAGGACTCCCACCAAGCCCAGCACGAGGTTCTCTGATTTGGGGGGAGCCGACTCCAGGTTGTGACTGGGATGTTGAGCCTGCATCTCTGGGTTCCCTCCTGCAGCTCCTTTGTGGGTTTATTTTGTGGGTCACCAGCTGGGGATCCCCTGAGCACAGTGATCGCTGCAGTCTGCACTCCCCTGACTTTGCCTTTTATGTTCTGCTGGTACTACGATTCCTACTGGGACAATGAGAGGTTTACATAAATTTATGGTGATAATAATGATACATTTTTCTGCCAATTCACTGCGTGATTTGGTGGTTGATTTTTCTTTTAACACTAGGACACAGGGGAAAAGAGTTGGTCAGGACACATGGAACTGACCAGGGATTTACAAGTTTTGTCTGGGAATGCTGGTCATTCTGCAGCTTTGATCACTGTCTCCAACCACTATAAATGAAAGGCAACATGTAATACTGAATAAAAAGAATCACCTGCAAATATATTGAAACAGAACATAAAGAAGTCTTTTACCTCTGCCGGACAAAAATACAGTTTGGTTTCATGGGAGAAGCCTCACAAAAGACTGGAACGGGATAGCTGGATCACCAGCGCTGTCCTTCACACCSCTAGCACTTATCACCCTAAGTTTCTTGGCTGTTTCAGCACCTAATGTCAGCCTGGCTCTTGGCACTTTCCAAGGAAAGCCATACATTTTGTTACAGTATTTCCCGAGACCGTACACCTATCAGTTTCCCTTTCGCTCTGGGGAATGCTGTGCCCTCACGAAAGGATGCCCGGGGTGGGACATGCCCTGCCCGACACGGCCGCTTCCATGCCTCGCCTGCCCCAGGTGCGCCGGCTGCGGGAACACGCCTGGAGCCGCCCGGCGCCTCCCGCACGGCATCGAACCGCATCGAGCAGCTCTGCCCGTGCCACCCGACAGCCTAAAGCCMAGGGGGGCGGGGGACACCCGGGGAAAGCCTTCGGGCGGGGACACCCTCGGGGTCGGCAAGGAGGAGGCGGCGGTCGGGACAGGTGCACGACGGCGGCTCCCATCAGCACGGCCGCCCCGACGGCCCCGGGGGACACGGAGGGTGCAGGGGGAGGCGGGGCGGCACTCACCTGCCGCTGGCTGTGGTTGCCGGCGCCCGTGGGGGCGTGGGGCTCCCCGCCGCCGCCGCCGCCGCCGC